CACCAGCTGCTGGCGCAAAGTGTAACGTTGGGCTTCGGGAGCAACGTGGCTTTGATTGACGATCAGCCCCACTCCGGTGGTGTGGAGAAAATAATCTTCAGACCAGTTAGAAGTTCCTGAAGATGGAGAACAAAAGAAGGAAATCCCGTGTATGTGTCATTTGCAGCCCACTTCAGCTAAGCAAGGAGAGAAGCAACCTAGAACTAAGGAGAAACTTCCTGACAGTGAGAACAGTTAACCAGTGGAACAACCTGCCTCCAGAAGCGGTGAATGCTCCAACACTGGAAGTTTTTAAGAAGAGACCGGACAGCTATTTGTCCCAAATGGTATAGGATCTCCTGCTTGAGTAAGGGTTGGACTAGAAGACCTCCCGGGTCCCTTCCATCTCTGTTATTCTGTGAATTACATTCAAACGTGAGAGCTACGTACCAACATAAGCTACGCGGTCCGTCACCATGTATTTGTTGTGGTTAACGTGAGCATAAGGAATTTCTCTCCCTTCTGTGGGAACCACAAAGAGTTTCTGAAAAAGGAAAACAAAGAATTAAACGCATCTCTCTCTCTCTCTCTCTCTCTCTCTCTCTCTCTCTCTCTCTCTCTCTCTCTCCATTCCCCTCTTTCTCTCTCTGTGTCTCTCTGTGTATCTCTCTATCTCTATCTCTCTCTGTGTGTGTGTGTTTCTCTCTCTCCCTGTCTGTCACTCTGTCTCTCTGTCTTTCTCTTTATCTCTCTCTTCTCTCTTTCTCTCTCTGTCTCGGTTTCTATCTCTCTCTCTGTGTGAGTTTCTCTCTCTCCCTGTCTGTCACTCTGTCTCTCTGTCTTTCTCTATCTCTTTCTGACTCTTTATCTCTCTCTTCTCTCTTTCTCTCTCTGTCTGTCTCTCTCTTCTCTCTCTCTCTCTTCTCTCTCTCTCTTTGTGTCTCTCTCTGCCTGTTTGTCTGCCTGTCTGTCTCTCTCTCTCTCTTCTCTCTCTCTCTCTTTGTGTGTGTGTCTCTCCCCGTCTGTCTCTCTCTGTCTCTCTCTCTCTCTGTCTCTTTCTCTTCTCTCTCTCTCTCATTCCACCCTTCTAGAGTTTCTAACCCTGTGGGTTTTCTTAGTAGGAAGAGGTTAGGGAGGACTCACCACTTCGATGGGGCAGTGGAGGGGTTTCCTTCTCAGGACCGTGAGTGACTCCAGGAAGACAAACATGGTTTGTCTGGAGTGCTGCCAACAGCTGATGAGAAGACGCACGCTCACGCCTTTGTCGCAGGCTGCCGTCCGTAAAGCATCGTCAATGACAGGCCAGAACCTTGAAAAGCAAAAGGGGGGCAGAGAGCCACAGTATTCTATGGGGAGCCTGCCGGGTGGCTGTATATCTTAGGTGCTTTTTTCCCCCTCTCTCGTAATCTTGGCTTGTTATGTTTTTATATTGTTATTTATGTTTAGTGTTTTAAGATTGTAAACAATTTATTTAATGGTTGCTGTGGTTGTTTGTTGTGGGAGGTGGGTGGCCAGATAAAGAAAGAAAGAAAGAAAGAAGAAAGAAAGAAAAAGAAAGAAAGAAAGAAAGAAGAGAGAGGAAAGAAAGAAGAGAGAAGAAAGAAAGAAAGAAAGAAAGAAAGAAAGAAAGAAAGAAAGAAAGAAAGAAAGAAAGAAAGAAAGAAAAAGATGGGAGGGAGGAAGGAAGGAAGANTCCCTTCCTCCCTTCCTCCCTCCCTCCCTCATCACTGAAGGTTTTTAGGAAGAGATCAGACAACCATCTGTCTGAAATAGTACAGGGTCTCCTGCTTGAGCAGGGGGTTGGACTAGAAGACCTCCAAGGTCCCTTCAACTCTGTTATTCCGTTATCTCACTACAGATACATTACCGTCACGGATCAATTCATCAGTGTCTTGTTCGGACGATTGAGGGCTATTCACCGCTATCTCCAGCTTCACCCCCCGGGAAGGTAGGCTGCGCAGCATATTGAACACCTCCAGGCCCTGTTGAGTGACACAAAACAACAACACTTGTGGGACTTGGTCTTAGACGATGCTGGCCAAGCCCGTTCTGACATTATGCCATTCATTCGTGCAGCTCAATTCTCCGTCTCAAATAACTCTTTGAACATGGCTGGACTTAACTTCAAGTCTTCCTCAACGTACGGCCACAACAGGGATTGTAATATTCGTTGTTAAGCAGTACGGTTGTTAACTGAGACATCACGGGACCGCACCCGATTTTACCCCTTTTTTTGCTCCCCAATGAGAAACTGACCGGATTTGCCGAAGGATCTTCCATTTGTAAATCGGAGTCCCGGAGGGTAAAGTAAAAAGCCGCGATTTCTACGACGCTGTTGGCTCCCGAGAGGAGATCCATCCACCCTTCGTAAATGGTGGGGTTTTGAGGGCTCGGAGATGGATAGCGTAAGGTGTCTGGGATGCTCTCCAGAAGGACCAAACTAGGAACCAGAGAAGGGAGAATTCAAACCAAGGTGATCAGCAGCGATGGAGTTGACCCAGGTTTGGGACCAACATCGGACGACATTTTTGTGCATAAATCAACGCAGAGTCCTTGCCTGCACTGCGCGCTGCATTCTTCCCCCTCGTTCCACAGCGTTGTGATTTTTTTCCATACTGAAGAGCCATTTCCGAACATGAGCGAGACGGGGGCTTCCTGTTTCCATACGAACCAGCAAGTAAGGATGAGGATGAGGAAGAAGAGCAGGTAAAAGAGAGAAGACCAAGATAACTTGCGCTAAGGAGAAAACACGAGGGAAGACAAGACAGGTTGATTTAGTACAGCATTTTTTTTCCAGACTTGATCACTTTAAGATGGGTGGACTTCGACTCCCAGAATTCCCTAGCCAGCATGCTTTAAGATGGGTGGACGTCCACTCCCAGAATTCCCTAGCCAGCTTGCTTTAAAGATGGGTGGACTTCGACTCCCAGAATTCCCTAGCCAGCATGCTTTAAGATGGGTGGACTTCCACTCCCAGAATTCCCTAGCCAACTTGCTTTAAAGATGG